ACAAGCGGTACGTAGACGGCACTTTCAAAATTTTACCGTCTGACAAATCAACTGCATTTCTAGACCACCTTAACTCCGTAAGCTTAAAATACAAATCACGATGGAGTTAGAAGCAAATAATACTTTAGCTTTCCTACATGTTTTAGTCATCCGAAATCCTGATAACACTATTGGTCATACTATGTATAGGAAAAAGGCCTATACCAACCGATATTCAAATGGTAAATCTCACCATCATTCTTCATAGTTTGCTACTGTGGGTAAATATTTGTTTCAGAGAGCACAAGGGATCTGTGACAGAATACATCTGGCCGCCGAGCTTGAGCATGTCAAGCAAATATTGCAAGACAACAAGCTTTGGGTCCCAAGCTTACGCCACAGCGACCGAGTGAAGCAGGCCACAGTCGGTGGATGGGTGCTGCCATCTGCTTGGGATCCTATAATTAACAAAATCTATCCAAAACCAAGCATACCACCGCAAGATTTCAAGATACTGTAAGCTCGTTTTAAGTAGATCGGGACCAAAAATCAATATTCAAAAACTGAAGATAGCCGGACTAACTATGATATTAAGATGTCAAACATCTCAGTTCCCTCCCCCCCCGTGACCATGATTTCGCTTAAATTTAAGAAATCATTAGATTACATGTACAAATATATATATATATATATATATATATATATATATATATATATATATATATATACTACTCTGTGTAAAAAGTATCGGGAATATGTCAATAAAAAGACCCGCGTAAAAGAGGTCGTTCTAATTTTTTTACTGCATGTTGGTAGCACTGTACTGATTTAGCGCGCAAAGTTTGAGCGGGATCTGTCATTTAATTTGTTTTAAACTACACTTTTTGTTGGTCATAGTTTTGAGTTCTCGGCGATTTTTACAATGGAAAATATGGTTATTAATACAAAGAGTGTGCCTTAAATTTTGTGTTTCGAATGATATTTCATGTGGTGAATCACTAAAAATGTTGCGAAATACCTACGGCGAATCGTGTATATCGAAAACAAGGGCTTATGAATGGTATAAGGCTTTTAAAGAAGGCCGAGAAGTAGTAGTAGACTTGCCTCGTTCTGGTAGACCTTCAACCGCTACGACCAAAGAAAACATCGACAAAATCAAGAAGCTAGTGCTCGAAAATCGACGTATGAGTCTGAGAGAGTTGGCTAGTGAGGTGAACATATCTTTTAAGTCCGTCCACAACATTCTCATTGACATTTTAGGCATGAAACGCGTCGCCGCTCGCCTAGTTCCAAAAGAGCTCAATTTTGTTCAAAGAGCGCAGCGAAAGCATGACGCTGAAGACATGTTTTCCCGAGCTTCTACGGATCCGACCTTTATGAAACGTATAATAACTGGCGATGAGACATGGGTTTATGAGTACGACATGCAAACAAGCCAACAGTCTTCAGAATGGCGTCTCGAAAACGAGCCGAAACCCAAAAAACCGCGGCAAAGTCGGTCCAAAATCAAGGTGATGCTAACAGTTTTTTTTGACTACCGTGGTGTGGTTCACTCCGAATTCTTCCAAAGGGAGAAACAGTGAATAAAGAGTATTATTTAGGCGTCATGAAGCGTTTGCGTGAGAGTATCCGCCGAAAACGTCCAGATTTGTGGCAACACAACTCATGGATGCTGCACCATGATAATGCACCATCACACACAGCCATTATAGTGAAAGAGTTTTTAGCAAAAAATTCAACAAAAGTTCTCGACCAAGCACCGTATTCACCTGATATGGCTCCGTCTGACTTTTTTTTAATTCTCAGGTTAAAATTACCACTTCGAGGAAAACGTTTTGAGTCGATAGAAGCCATAACAAAAAATTCGCTGAATGAGCTAAAGGCCATACCGCAAATAGCCTATGAAAAATGTATGGAAGACTGGGTGAAGCGTTGGAGATGTTGTATTGCAAGCGATGGGGCCTACTTTGAAGGCGATAAAATAAATTTAGATGAATAATTTGTATTTTTTGTTTTATTGACAAATTCCCGATATTTAGTACACAGAAGGTATGTATATATATATTCTTTTATTTATATACATTGTTTTATTTTTTAATAAATTTTAAATAAAAATTGATTAATTCACTTATTTATCAATAAATCCCAAATTTATCGATCAACGTCCCAACCCTGTCCCATCACTATTGTTCGAAGCATTTTAAGTTCAACCTTGAATTATCCAATCACAGCGCATTTGACACGTCCCCCGCAACTCGAAATTTGGTGAAATTTAAACAGAACAAATATTCCACGATGCGGTATCTATTAGAAGGTAATCTATGGAGGAAAGTAATATATCGTACAGTCTCTAGACTGCCATTAGCTTGCTACATATTTATTTATATATGACTGATCATATATTATATATATGATTTATATATATATATATATATATATATATATATATATATATACACAACATGTAACAAAACCCGGTTCCCGTTAGGTGCGTAATCAGAATCAGTATCCAAGCGTATTAAAAATTTTTATTTTCAAAAAAACATATTTAAAAAATTTGAATTTAATGAAAAAAAAATTAATTTGCAAATTGTATCTGGTTTTGAGTTACAGGGAATAAAACCACATGTAATTTGCAAAATAATTTTTTCATTAAAATTATTTTTTAAATGTGTCTTTTAGAAAAAAAAAATTATTGCTATACGCTTGGATACTAATTCTGATAACGCAGTTAACGGGAACCACAGGGTTTTATTACATGTTGTGTACATACAATATAAGAATAATAATGTTGTACATGCTAAATGATTTATTTGTAATAGGTTATGGAATGTAGTTGTGCTTTTTTAGCGTGTTTATTATTGTAAAAACGACATCCAGAGAAGTTTTGTTTCGGTTCCTTTAGATTTCATAATTTCTTTAACGGATGGAGTATAGTATTCCTCACGCCTAAAATAGTCAGATGGTCTAAATATTGAAGTAAGTGCAAATGTCGCTAAAAATCACCAGAATATTTTTTGTCGCTGAACATTGAATTTAACTCCCTAAATTAACAAAAAACTCGTTAGATTTAGCGACAAAGTCGCTAAAGTGGCAACTCTAAGTTCAAGCCATCGCCTTGAAGTTGGAGATTCATATCATTAAGCAATTTATAAAGGTCTGTCAGGTATGCGATATCATTCTTTAATGTGTTGAGGTTGTCGTGCAATTCCGTGTCTTTGTTTTCCAAGAAACGAGAAGATAGCCAACGCACTTCTGTGTGAAAATTAATCGGTTGAAATCTGACATCATTATAGTCAACCAAATCTAAGAAATACCTTTTGACGTTTCACATTAATCATTTCGCAATAACTTTGCAGAAGCGTACTCACACGATTTAAAATAACCTTTTACGTAAATCCAAAGTATTATGAAGGTATATATATATTTCATTACAACGTGTACAGGTTTTTATCACCAATTTAAATTCGAAGCTTTCAAATAAAGCAAAATATTAAAAAAATATCAAGTATCAACTTTTTTACTTGACGTCGTTTCAATGATATGTTGCTTTGTACCATACCGTAGTGTTTGGATTATTAAAATTCGTTGTTATGCGAATAATTGGCAAAAATATTTAAATAATCGGTAAGAATATTCAAATAATCAAATCATTATTTTTTTAATGTATTATTTGTTTAATAAAATTTTTATTTTTAAAATTCCTTAATTACATGACTCATGAATAAAACAAGTTTATTCTTTTTAACTTTGTCAACGTAAATTTGTGTAGAGAAAAAAGGTCATATACAAGGCCTCGTCGAAAAAACCACTACGTAATTTCAATATCCCGCTATTTCGGTAGCTTATTGTGCTTTTTTTAGTGATTTTGTGTTTGTGTTTAAATTTGTGACTCGGCTTTAATTTTTTTGGACTGTTTCTTCTATATTCGTTGAAGCATGTGCCCATGTCACAAAGGATGATTGGATAAAAGTGGTAGAAAAAACAAAAAAAAAATTAATTAAGGAAGATCAATTTTAAATAGACATTAACTTGATGGCATTATTGAGAATCAAAAAATAATTAATCTAAACAACGACAGATCAACTAGTTGTACTGAAAGTGATTGATAAAATTTATTTTTTAATCTAGTATCAATCTTAAATTTTTATAACTTTGTCTCTAGTAAATAAGCAATAACAACAAATACTAAGAAACTGATAAATCTTGTGTTTTAAATTTATTCTGGTATTATTCAAACCAAACTGTAAATTATTACAAACTCTTAACCCGTTACCTCTGACAGCGCGCGACATGTTATACTCCCGTTCCCTTAGGACCTTAATGGCGGGAAAATTTGTAAGTTAGGAAATTTAATCGACGATGGAAGAGCTAATGACGTCACACGAAAGTGTTGTCAAAATAAGCAATTGACAAACTGTTGTTGTCTCCCTTTTCTAATGAAGCTACTGCTTTGTTAAAAAGAAACAAAAGTATTTTTGACAAGTGTGTGTCGATGTTATAGATATTTGTATAAATATTATTTCTATAGTTGAATACGGCGCCTCCATAGGTATTAAGGGCACGTTTTTAGACGACCACTTTTTTTTTATTTTTTTTTTTTTTTTTTTTTTTTTTATTATGATTACTTATAAATATTTTGTTATTTTTTTTTTTTCTTATTTTTTTGGGGTTACTCTTTTTATGCGCTTTGCCCTTACGTACTCCATTTTTTTTAAATAGGCTTGGGCTTTTTTCTGCCAAACGCACCCATTATCTCTATGCTTTATCTCTACACTCTATAGTCTACGGCTAAATCTACATCGATCTACATATGTATTTATCTATGGTTGTAACGTATAGAAATTCAAAACGTTAAGACGTTATAAATTTAATTTGATAGCTGGTCGGTTTTATTCTTGTGACGCTGGAAATTAATAGATTTTAAACATTTTTATTACAAACAACGTTTAAACTAAAAGTGGGTGTTTGCATTTGGCCTTATGTGTTTTATATTTTCTAACAATTAAGAATCTTGGAAAATGATCGTGTTGACTGAAGACATAGGAAAGCTTTTGTGAGTTCATACTTTTATATTGATATTCTAATAGAAATCTACATAAATTTTTAAATCTTAGATATAAAACATACGAATATAATTGTGAATTGTAATATTTTATGTGTAAAGTTCGTAGACTATTACGTTGAATCCAGCTTTTATTACCTAAGAGAACTGTTTTGTAATTTGTCACTCGTAATTTAGCATCAATGTTTTAAGTATGCAATCGGAATACAAATGTAATATCAAGATATGGCTTTAATTTACTGGTGATTTAATGGTTTTAATAAACTTAAAAATATATCCGTTTGCCACAATTACAAAGGTGACTCACCAGTCAAAACTGAATTGACCCGTTAGGTCAGGAGAGCCGAGCTTACAGGTAAATAACAAAACTTGTACATATTTACAAGTATGGGGTTTAATTAGGTTATTACATGCCAACAAAATAGTCCCGCTGGGTTTCTTGCTGGGTCTTCTCAGGATAGAGGTTTTTTTTTGCGAACCAGTGGTAAATGAAAAAAAGTGACTTTCAATAAGTATTATTTATAATCTTAATTGAATAAAAAAAATTGTGTTTCTGTTTCTGCATTTTAAAATCTTTCTTGACATCAAAATATTTATACAAGTTTAACACTCTTGATTCTTTGGGTTTACTCTACTGTTAGTCATTATTCAATCTTTTGTAATTTTCTAACACACATAAATATCTTGTCTTAGTTGTCCACATGAAAATTCCATTTGAAGTCTCTGTGGAACATAATATTTCAGCTGAATAAAGGAATCTTAGCAGTATCCAGGCTCTTTAGCTTAGGGGCCCTATCATTGATATAGCAGATGCAGTAATAGGCAAACTCTAAAAAGCTAGGAATTATAGTCATAAAAATATATTGATTTCATTTCAGTAATGAGGTGCAGCAAGAGATTTCACAAAATGTCCGTCACATGATGGAGGAACTGTGGCTGAATTGGTCACATCTAGGTGTGGATGATGATACTAAAGCCAACAATATAACTAAACTTGTTCAGATAGAGAAGGAATTCCATCGTGATGTTATTTCAGAGACCCGACAAAAACTGAAAATAATGCAGGCTCAAGTTGACAGTTAGTAACTAATATTAGTTGGAAAAATATGAAATTGGTAACTATGTCTATTTATGTACATATTTTATGGAATATTTTTGCTTTTCCAGAGTTAAAGGAAGAAACAGAAGAACTTAGCAGATGCTTATCAGTAGATATATCAATTCTTGATTTCAATCAAGATATGATGTTAGTAGATTATAAAAGAGAATTGGAAAATCAAATTGCAGGGTAAGACACATATTTAGTATCTAAAAAATGAGTTCTAATTTAAAGTTCAAGTTCAAATATAATTTTCATTCATTTAATATCTTAATCCTAATCAGAACATTACCTTCAAACCACACTAATTCACTTATCGTACATTCTCATTCTCACCCTATCCTTCAAAGCCACACTTAACTGTCTTAATACCTCATTTCTACTGTATTAATTTTACTCTCATGCTTCTTGTGCCACTACCATCTTTCACTACCATGCATCATGGTAATAAATTAATCGGAATAACAATGAAAAACTGTCTTAAATATTGAGTTTACCAAGTCACACCATTTATTAGTAATTGTAAGTTAATCAAAATTATTTATCTAGTAGGTTTAAAAATAAGTTCTCTTTAGTTATCTATGCTTAGGCAAACCACAAATTGTGCTAAAAATTTGATTAATATAAATATGTAAACACACACAATTTTCTTAATATACAGTAGAAACTGTACGAGACTAAATAATTAAGTCATATTGAGCCAGGTTACAAAGTGTTTAACATATGTACTACATATCGAATTTATGCAAGCATGAACATGTCTATTGGCATTACCCCGACCGCGCCCTGCGGGATCGCGTTTCGTAACAACAATAACTAAAACAATAACAAAACTTTTGTTATTGTTTTAGTCTTTTAGTTAGCTAGCAATTGTTACTCTGCTCTGATCTAAATATTTAAAAATGTCAAAGCATAAGAGAGTGGTGTTATCACTTAAAGACAAAATAAATATTATTGATTCATTAAAAAAAGGAGAAACTGGTCGTAAGTTAGCTAAGTATGGTATAGGTACATCCACAATAAGTGATATTAAGAAAAATGCCGATTCAATTTTGTTGTACACTTGCAAATCAGATAGTGACGACGGGAGTAAACATTGGAAAATGTTGAAGAAACCGAAAAACTATCTTTTAGAAGACGCTTTGTATTGTTGGTTTTTACAAAAACGATCAACTGGGCAACCGATATCTGGCCTTTTGCTGTGTAAAAAAGCATTACAGTTAAATAAAAAATTAGGTGGCGGCGGCTCGTTTGTCACAATTAACGGATGGTTATATAGATTTAAATCTCGTCATGTAATTCGTGAATTAGAAATACAAGGTGAAAAAATGTCAGCTAATGTATACGCAGCAAACTCCTTTAAAAATGATTTTAAGAAGAAATTGGATGAAAATAACTATGACTTGGATTTTGTTTATAATGCTGATGAAACAGGATTAAAATATATCTCTTAATAATTTCTTAATAAACATTGATTTTCGTTGATATTGTTGTTTTTAATAAACACATAACATTATGTATGTATGTCCTACAAATGCACCCGCTACAATACAATACAAATGAAAAACCCGCTTTTCTTCATACATTCGATTATCCGGATTTTCGATTATCCGAATCCCTAACGGCAACAATTAGTCCGGTTAATCGAGTTTCCACTGTATTCACATTATTATTATTTTTATATATTTATATTATACTAGCCTGCCAGGTAGACGTTGTTCTACCCTTTTCAATGATCTTATATCTTTATATATTATTAAAAATCTTTGAATTCGCAAAAAATTGAGGGTCACTCATGGGCAACAAAAAAACTTTCCTATCTTTCAAATTGAACCAAACTGCATGCGGTGTGCAAATTTGATTAAAATCGGTTAAGTAGTAGAGACATACAATACGATACGTAATTTATATATAAAGATTAACATATTCCATCTATATAAAATGTAATGAATGATTTTTATTCAATTTAGATCATTACATAATACTTTTAGAAAGTATTTTTTATAGAGATGTGCCGAAAATAGATTTTACCGAATATGAATGAATATTCGGCCGAAACTTCTGTAAAACTTACTGAACCAAATATTTGGCCGAACATTATTCGGCAAGATCTCCTCGGTACCTAACTAATGTATGTTGAAACTTGGTACCATAAAGCGCACAAGATTAGTGCCGGACCTTACCCCTCGCTCCCCTACCAAACCTGGCATCATCTAGTACTGAGCATATTGCCGGGACATGATTATGTTTTAACTATTTTTGTGAGAAAATAACTATTGTGTTATTCTTAGTGAAAATTGATAATTATATGATAAAAATAAGTGGCAAGAGTTATACTATTTGGACTACTTAACATAATATTTGACAGTGTGCTTAAGGAAAAGTATTGCACTTTCTGTAGACAATCCAGAATGAAATCTAAAGTGATTGTCATGCAGTTTTAGATATTTATTATATTTGCTTATTAAGTACACTGTCCAATATTGTATGTAGAGATGGGCCGAATATTTGTTTCATATTCGGTATTCGGCATATTCAGCAGCATTAACGAATATTTGTATTCGGGCGAATATTCGGCTAAATCACCGTAAATTCGTTTAAGTGGTACTCAGTATCCACTGTATTGAAATGTACGAAGTGAGTAATACCATGTCTTTCATAATTTTACTGTTGAAAGTATATTTTATTTATGGGTTAAATCTCTTGAAATGTTATGTTTTTGAGGCACTGTAGATTTATTTCCAATTATAGCAAATAGAAAGCATGTGCCGGCAATTTGCTCAATACTAGATGATGTAATAACATGTCAGTTGTGGCAGAGGAGCGAAGGGCAAGTTCCGGCTATCTTGCGCGCTTTACGGCTGCAAATTTCAACATAAATTGATTAGGTACCAAGATGATCCTGCCAAATAATATTCGGCTATCTTGCGCGCTCTACGGCTGCAAATTTCAACATAAATTGGTTAGGTACCAAGGTGATCCTGCCAAATAATATTCGGCTATCTTGCGCGCTTTACGGCTGCAAATTTCAACATAAATTGGTTAGGTACCAAGGTGATCCTACCAAATAATATTCGGCTATCTTGCGCGCTTTACGGCTGCAAATTTCAACATAAATTGGTTAGGTACCAAGGTGATCCTGCCGAATAATATTCGGCTATCTTGCGCGCTTTACGGCTGCAAATTTCAACATAAATTGGTTAGGTACCAAAGTGATCCTGCCAAATAATATTCGGCTATCTTGCGCGCTCTACGGCTGCAAATTTCAACATAAATTGGTTAGGTACCAAGGTGATCCCGCCAAATAATATTCGGCTATCTTGCGCGCTCTACGGCTGCAAATTTCAACATAAATTGGTTAGGTACCAAGGTGATCCTGCCGAATAATATTTGGCTATCTTGCGCGTTTTACGGCTGCAAATTTCAACATAAATTGGTTAGGTACCAAAGTGATCCTGCCAAATAATATTCGGCTATCTTGCGCGCTCTACGGCTGCAAATTTCAACATAAATTGGTTAGGTACCAAGGTGATCCCACCAAATAATATTCGGCTATCTTGCGCGCTTTACGGCTGCAAATTTCAACATAAATTGGTTAGGTACCAAGGTGATCCTGCCGAATAATATTCGGCCGAATATTCGTATTCGGTGAAATCCATATTCGGCCCATCTCTAATTATAATATTTATCTGACGAGTCATCCATTTTATTTTTAACCACTGGTAGTACTATGGTCTTCATTAGATCAGGGGGTGGATATTCCTGTCTTATTATTTTTCAGAACATAGCCAGTATCCAGTGTAAATGTGGACCATCATTCTGTAGATGTTCTATATTAGATGAGACAGTCGTGACCTGGAGACTTGCCCTTGGCCATAGATTTTATGACATTTGCAACATCTTTCAAACTAATTCTGTCCCCTACTTCATCAGTACTTATTTCAGCATCTTGCACCGATTCACAAGGAGATGACCCCAGTGTAGACTTTACAGCTCTAAAAACTCCCTAAAGAGGTTGGCAATATTCTTAGGATCTTTATCCCATCTACACTCAACAGGCTGAGACCTCATATTATTAGTGCTTTTATTATATATGAATCTCATCTATCGTAAACCACAGAATGTTGGCATTTCCCTAAGTCATTTTCTACAACACAAGGGCGTAATTTAAGCAACCATCAGAAATTTCATATTATTAATTTTTCATTGCTTACATGTTTTTGGTTGTTTACTTTTAAAGCACCCCATTTAATTTTTAAGTACTTAAAACTATGCCATTATAGTTAATATCGAAGTGTCTTTGTAATGAATAGTATAATATCACAATAAATAATTTTTAAGTCTGTGTGAACAACAGGATATTGTTTATTTGGCACATTAATTTCTTATGTTTAATCTTGTTTTAGTTAAGGCATTAAGTTGTAAATCTATTAGAACTTTTGGGAGCCACATAAGACTTGGGATTATAGTGGCTAATTTGGAGGATGACAGAGTTGAAAAAAAATGTCCACTATAGGAACAAATTTTAAAATTCTGTTCTTTTTTTATATTTCAAAGATAGGTAATTCACAAATGAAATACAGAACACCACAAGTGCTCTATTTGGGCACTTGCTTAACTAAAATCTCATATTGCACTGTACTTATAATTGACATTTCAACAGATGTGGCAGATGTGGTAGACTTATTTTGTAGACTCTTTGTAACTATTTCCATAAAATAAATTGTTTTCAAATAGCCTATTCTAACATGTTATAGTTTTAATTATTAAACAAGATGTTTCCTTTTAAAACTTACTTGCTTAAAATGTAAGGAATAAATGTGAACTGGCTTAACAACTAAAACATATGCATAATTAAACATATTAAATACATATTTTTTAAAGCTTTATTATTTATTGTGTAGGTATCGGGAACAAGTAGAGCAGCGTCGTATGAAAATGGAGAGGTTATTGGAGTGGCAGCGGGACCTCGCAGAGAAACTTGGAGTAACCATTCAGGAATTACAAGATATGCCTTTGCCATCTGAAGAGGAGTTGAATAAGCTAAAAGATCACCTTGAAGTGCTACAGGCAGAGAGAGATAAGAGGGCTGAAATATTCTTGAACACTCAAGTTGAAATCAAGGATATTATGGGTTAGCTTTTTACATTTTTATTTTTTGGTTGCAGTATTTGGACTAAAATACAAAAACCTCAAGTTAATCATGAGGAAACTTGATTACAGTGGACCCCTGGTAATCCGGCACCTGTGTAATCTGGCACCCGCTGTAATGAAATGTGGTCTATTATTTATTATTGAATATTTTCGCTAAGGCATGATTGAACAAGTTAGAACTTGTACGCACCACCATTATTGTGCTCGATGTGTAGCGTATTGATTTGAGTCTGATTGCTTAGTTTGAATTTGACATAATGAAATATGATTTGTATTTCAAAGTACATATACCAGGCGGTCCCATAATGAACTGGCCTGATATAGTTCAACGCGACATGTCGCTACATGTTGTGTTGCATTAAATAGTAAGTTTATCGTGCACTTAATATAAGAAACATGCATCGACATGAAATGCTTAGTCTTAGTTTAACAGGCATTTGAATAATGAGAGTCGCGTATTTTTTCAAAATGTCGAAAACTGAGTATCGAAGTGTCATAAAGTTTCTGTTTAAAGAAGGTTTATCCCCTGCCCAAATAAAAGAACGATTGGATGGCGTGTATAAAGAGTCTGCCCCCTCCTATAGCACAGTGAAAAATGGGTGAAAGAGTTTCGCCTCGGGAGAGAAACCGTCGAAGACTTTGGCCACGACGGTCGACCTGTGGAAGTGCTCACTCCCGAAGCGATTGCTCTTGTCGAAGAGGAGGTTCTGAGTGACCGCCGTTTGAAGTTAGAGAAATTGCAGCAAGGCTTGGGCTCTCTAAGAGTACCGTTCATCGCGCGATCCATGAACATCTTCACATGAAAAAAGTGAGTCCAAGATGGGTACCGAAACTTCTTTCAGCGGTACAGAGACAGGAAAGAGTGCGCTGCGCTTCGGAGTTTTTGGATCTTTGTGGCGAAAATCCAAAGACTGTGATCGAGCGGCTAGTGACTGGTGATGAAACTATGATCTTGTATTATGATCCACAAAGCAAGCGCGAGTCAATGGAATTGCGTTATAAGGGTGAAAAGCCCCCTAAAAAGGCAAAGGTGCAACAATCGACAAAAAAACTGATGTGCACAATATTTTGGGATTTTCAAGGCATTTTGATGGTGGATTTTAAAGAACGTAATACAGTCGTGAACGGCGAATATTATGCTTCTTTAATGTATAAATTACGAGACAAGATAAAGGAAAAACGAAGAGGCAAGCTGTCTAAAGGTGTCCTGTTGCTCCATGACAACGCCCCTGTTCATACCGCTGGTGTTTCGAAGGATGCAGTTCGTCAATGCGGGTTCACAGAAGTTCAACATCCACCTTACAGTCCAGACATGGCCCCGTCCGACTATTATTTATTTCCAAATTTAAAGCAGGACTTAAGAAGAAGAAAATTTTCAAGCGATGAAGAGTTGCAGGCGGCCGTCTTCAGTCATTTTGAGGATAAAAAATGTGATTATTTTTATAAAGGTTTAGAGATGTTGATTCACAGATGTCAGAAGTGTGTTAGTATTCATGGTGATTACATTGAAAAATAAAATTGGTTTCGTTTCATTTCCTTCATTGGTTCATAGTTAGGCCAATTCATTATGGGACCGCCGCATATAGAATTTTATCAGTGGATCTGTAATTTCTCGGATTACAAGGTACGCTTTTATAAAAAAAATCCGGACTATAGGTCCGGTCTTAGGCAGTACTCTATAATCCGACAAATTCGATAGTTCGACACTGCCCTGCAAAATGTTTGTCGGATTACCGGGGGTCCACAATATATGTAGGGAATGTTAGTGATATAATTTAATTAGAGTTATTTTAATAGAATTATGAGATTTTCCGTTTATAAGACTGCTGCTTTTAATTTAAAGAACTATTTATCTTAGCCCTCAGATAAATCACATCTGTGGCCTAATTTTTTGAATTTGGTTGCTTATGCGCATGGGCTTCAGCAGCCACTTGCAATGAGTGATATGAAAATATTTTCTGCCTAAAACATTAAAGGCCATGATAGAATATTATATTAAATGATTACGAATTGTCACAAAATCAACTTGCATATCATTAAAAAAAATTGAACTTGCCAGGAAACATGGATATTGCATTTTATGTAAACAATGTTTTGTTTCAGAGAAACTTCAAATCAAACCGCAAAACAAATTTGAACATCTAGTGGTGACATCCCTGTCTGTTGACTTCAAAGTCACTGATCTTAACATGGACCGTCTTGCTAAGTTAAAGCAAGACCTGCAGGAGAAGTATCAGCAAACTAATAATAGGGTAAGTACAAGAATCTAATACAAAATAAGCTTTAATATCCTTTAGAAGAAATTATGTTAATATTTTTACTGTATTACAAACATTACAAAAATTTACTTTTAACCCCTTACCGCATGAATTATTAAAAAGATGAAATAAAAATTCTTTTTTTTACGAAATAGTGTTTAATAAGGCTTATATAATGAGATCAAATTGTTGAGTTATATATTAGAAGTTATTACTCAGAGCGATATATGGCTTCTTATGCAGTCTAGTCATCTAATTTGAATCCATATCTGGCTTCGTATGCTTTTAAAAAAAATACAAATTATATTTGGTGGAACTCTTTAAAACATTTGCGTTTGTTAAATATAAATAAATATTACATTTTTCACATTTAGTGAAAGATTGATATTTTGAACAATACTGAATTTTATGTGTCTGATATTTTTCTCCCAAATGGGAAAATAACTAATTCCATCGTGACATGCTGAAATCAAAGGAAGCTCTTGATATCAGGCAGAAGTCTTTCGAGGTTTTTTGCAGGTACTGGAAAATCAGGCAAGTTGATGGGAGTGCCGCCCCTAAATAAAAGTTAAAGAACTCTTCTGGTGTTGGTGTCCTTTGATTTCAAAGCCATCCCCATTCAGATCAGGAATGTCTTTTTAGAGGTCGGCGAATAGAGTTAGGTTCAAAAGCATCGTCACTGTTAGAAGAAATATCATCATCGCTCAATTTTCCATCACCAGGAATAATATTAAAATGTTTGGATTTTCCATAAAAGCGCAAAGGATCCATTTCTGAAGTAATCAAACAATAATCTTGAACACATACGAAACCAAATATGATGGTAGTATTTTATACAGTAACGCACAGGAAGCCAAATATGGCAGATTGAAAAAAAGACAAATAAAAATAAGAAAAAAGCTAGGCATTGAAATAAACCACCAAGTTTCTTATTTTAGAGGGTATGAAGCATATAATTTAATTTTTTTAATATGTTTTACTTACCATATAATATTTTATTTTGAATCCCAAAACTTGCACTTATTTTTCTAACACCGGCCGACCACACGCGTTACAAATAATCTCAAATATAGTTGAAAAGTGTCAATGAACATGAAAAAATGATTAACGTTCGAAATAATGACAAATATGCTTCTTCTAATTTAAGGCATTAGTGCCTGGATGACAGAGCTTTGCTCGGTTTTAATTTTAAAAAATTATACAATTAGTTATTATATAATAAATATAATTAATTAGTTTAATTAAAATTTTCGTATTTTAAAAATACTAAAAATAAGGCTCGAAATAATAGATTTTCTCACAAAAGAAGGGAACTTGAAAAAAAAAAGGAAAAAAGTCGGACCGAAGACAGGACGCGAACCAAGGCATTGCGATTTTGCGACCGCTCGATATCCACTTGAGCTATTACGATTATTTACACAATGTCAAAATTTACCTTCTTATATTGTAGCAGTTTTTCATTGCCTGAAAACACGGACAAAAAGACATTTTCTAAAAATAAATCCTAGCTAGATAGATTTATTGCCCCCGAAACTCCCTGGACACAAAATTTTATGAAAATCGTTGGAGCCGTTTCCGAGATTCCGATTATATATTTACAAGAATTGCTTGTTTAAAGGTATAGGATTAAAGATCAAGTTTTTCATTAGGCTAGAAAAAAATCATAAACTTTTGATTCCATATATTATGGCTTGGTATGCGGTAAGGGGTGAAAACGGAAGCATGTCATATATACCATACCATTTACTTCCAGGTTTTAGAATTGCGTGAACGTCTAACCAAGCTCTGGGATTGCTTAGAGGAAGATCATATCTACAGAGAAAACTTTTTACAAGCTCATCCAGGCTGCCATCCACACACTGAGAATGCTATTAAGGAAGAAATTAAGCGGTGTGATCAGATAAAAAGGCAAAAGATACAGGTGATATTGCTTGTATAAATGTGTGATATAGTCCAAGTATGCACAAATAATTTTGTTAAGGATTTTATTTAAATTATAACTTCATGTTAAAATGTATAAATAAATTTTTTCAATACTGAAATTTAAACTATTGCATATAAGTTGTTTATAAATATGTGGTAGAGCCATTAATAGCAGTAGCACAAAAGTTTCAGCTCGACCGGGTAAGGAACACTCACAGAATATCAGCTTAAATTAGCAGCTTATTGCCACTGTGTTGTATGGTACTCACAAGAGAACTGGAGACCATTTTTACTGCAAACGAAGTTCCAAGTAGAAAGTATCCATCTTATTCCTCAGGAGTGACTTCGATTCTGCATTTTGATTCTTAATTCTGAACAAATTTAAATGTCTATGGGCCGTACCGTGATTTACCATCAGGTGGGCTGTATTCGCTTGTCGTCCTTATTCTATAAATAGCACATGCATTGCTACTTCCAACATTAGATTTATTACTTCTCTGTACCAGTGAAGGTGATTAACTGACCATATAAAATTTATTATGTAACATTTGAATTTGGAATGCATGATTCCAAATTTCAAATCAGTTGGTATGAAAATACTTTTTTGGTGTTTGATCGTGTTCTTTAATTTTAGGTGTTCGTGGCAAATGTTCGCACGAAAATAAAGCTGATGTGGGACAACATAATGTACTCAACTCAGCAACGGGAGGAGTTTATCCACTATTTTCAAGACATATTCACTGAAGACACACTCAATCTACATGAACTGTATTTAGATAAGATAACGAAATTTTACAATGAACACAAGTAAGACTAAAATGTTTTTATATTATTGCTATATAATATATGCAAATATCACTACTTAATACCTCAAAGTATCTCAAGTATCATACCAATTTCTTCTAATCAGCTTGTTGCTACTTATTGCTTGATCTTCGCTCTAGCTGTGAATGTTTACCATAATTGTGAAACTTGGGTTTTGCATTACCTATATCTTTATAACTCAGAAGTTCAGTTGCCTGTATGCTGTCAAATCTGTTAAAACCTGCAGCTTTATTTCCTGTTTAACAGGCATGAGATTAAGAGTGTAATCGAAGAGGTTTTTGTGTTCTTACGAAACTAAGCTCCGACTGCGTGGACAGTTTCCAAGAGCTTGTCATTGATATTGTTCACTGTATGACGGTCTTCTAGGCACTGAAAACAGTTTTGTAATTCGAGTTAAAAGTATTCGGGACAAAAATGTATCATCTATGCAACCTACTGATTCCAGAACAGTAGGTTGCATAGATGATACATTTTTGCGCATATGAAATCGCGTGCAAGACTAGAATTGTAATAAAGTTCTTGTTATACAACTTATGTAGTCTTGCGAAATTATTTATTTTGTCATTTCTCAGAAGTTCAGAAGACATATTATGTTACTGTTATACACTTTTGCCTCTTTGTGCAGGAACATTTTTGAGTTGGTGATGACCCGCAAGAACCTATGGCTGAAAATGACTGAATTAGAAGCCCGTGCTACAGAACCAGGACGCTATCACAACCGTGGAGGTCAACTGCTTAAAGAAGAGAAAGAAAGAAAAGCTATTGCTAGCAATGTAAGAATTAGATAATATTTAAAATAATGAGCATGTCATACTTGTCTTTATCATAAAAGCCTGAGGTACTTTAACTCACACTAAGCTGGTACTAACTATAGAAGTAAACTAATTTTCATAAAAAATGTTTTTTTTTAAATGTAATCAAATAAAACAATATTAAATTGGTATTAAATGACAGGGTGAGAAATTGTGTGATAAGAGAACAGTGTGGTTTGCAAGATGATGTTGTGACGAGGATTAAGAAAGGAATGCTTCGGTGGTTTGGTCATATGGAAAGAATGAATGAGGAAAGAGTGACAAAGAAAATGTATGTTGCGGAAGTGAATGGCAGAGTCGGAAAGGGACGTCCTAGGCGAAAATTTATCGACCAAATCGGCGATTTATTGAAAACGGGCCAAATTAGGAGTACCCTTAACCGACGAGCATGTATGCGTAGTATGGATGTGAAGGAGGCGAGAGAGGTGTGTCAGGATCATGCCAAATGGAAGTCTGTAGTCTCTGCCTACCCCTCTGGGTGCCAGGCGTGAGGGTTTATGTTTATGTTATAGGTTTTAAGTGACTTTTTTTGTTTATTAAACTATTCACTACATCCATTTACAGCTTCCGAAGATCGAGGCACAAATACGCGATCTAGTAACGGAATACGAAGCAACAACTGGCAAAACATTCACAGTTGATGGAAAGCCTCTATTGCAACTTATTCAGGATGAGTGGGAAGCCAGAAAAGCTGTAAGTACTAATTGTATATCACCATTACTTATCATGTGTTACAGTTGTAATATACCAAAACTGGAATGTATTATACAGAGCTGTGAACTTTTTATGGATTAATTGTAAAAGTGCAGAATATATTAATGGTTGTTTATTCTCTCCCTTGCAGTTTCTTGAATTAGATGAAATGCATACTGTTTTATATGACAGAGTTGAATTAAGCTCAAATTTGAACCAACCTCGCATCTTTTATCTTCACACAGGATTTAGTTACTTCTTAATCTACAGCCTGTAAAAAGTCAAGTGCTGAATATGGACCCTCTTGTATTTATTTATTTATTTCACAATTTATGTACACACAAGTAAGGGAGAGGACACATCATGATAAAAAGTTTGTACAAAGGCTCTACTTATCTCACAATGAAATTTCTTCCAGTAGGACAGTTTCAAACACATATTATAATTAATAAATGATTATAAAGTGTGCACTTTGTTATAATACAACACATATGTTGAAGGCAGGTAGATTGACGATCACCTAGACGTCTATTAGACATTTCACATCTTTGGCATTGCTGCCCTTCGCACGTTTGGGTATTTTACATCTGGTGTAAACGAGATGGTACATGGAGTACACTGAAATCAGTGTTGCCGTTTCAGCGCATTAGGCGCTAGATCTAGTGCAATTCTACGGTCTATAGCGCTTTTTTTACATGTCTTCGTAATAAAAATATCTAGTCAACTATATAATTTTAACAATTAAGGTATTTAAAAAAGCGCTATAGACGCTAGAATTGCACCAGATTTAGCGAATGCGCTAAATAAATGTTAAATAACTCTTATATATTTCATTATGCACTAATATATTTACTGCTTTTCAAATACAAAGTATTCTCCATTACAAGTAAAAAAAATTAGTTCAATTTTTTTTTGAAAACAGGGCTAAGCAGTTATTATGGTTGAAGCACGAGTGGGTTGGTTGAAGCACGAGTGGATCAGCTCGGCCGGGGTAAGACCATGCTCTCACAGAGTACCATAGTAAAATCAGCTTAATGCTACTATAATGATTTCTTATATTTACGCGAACACTACACATGATTAAAACTACTTTTACGGATTTTATCGCGTTTATTTTTGCTTTTAATTACTTTTATTTTTAATTCCCGACGTTTCGGGCGCTTTCCAGCATCCATGGTCACGGGGGGACTGATATGACTGACGTCCCGATGTCATTGTTAAACCCGGAGTACCTTCAGCTTTTTTAATTATTGTTTATGGTCCGATCTATGCAAAATGAACTGACTATGTCTTGAGGTCTTGCAGTGGTATGCTTGGGTTTAGTTTTAATTTTATTGATTATAGGATCCCAAGCAGGTGGTAGTACCCAGCCTCCTTCTCTATTGAAATTAGGATGTTTTTTAATTTCAATAGCCTCACGTATCATCCTTGGTAGGAATCGGTGTTCTTTCGCGAGGATTTGTGGTCTATCAGATTTGATAGACCACAAATCCTCGCGAAAGATTGGTAGACCATGGTAGACCATGGGTGCTGGAAAGCGCCCGAAACGTCGGGAATTAAAAATAAAAGTAATTAAAAGCAAAAATAAACGCGATAAAATCCGTAAAAGTAGTTTTAATCAATAATGCTACTATGTTTTGTATGGTGAGTGTAGAGAACCTGAGACCCTTTTTACTGTAAGGGAGACATTCTACCTCAATCCTCAAGGTTCACAACGCATCTGCATTTGATACTTAATTGAGGACAAGTGTACATGTCTATAGGCCACAGCATCCGATTACCATCAGGTGGACTGTGATAGTTTGTCAACCTTATTCTATGAAAAAAAAATATTGGAGGGGTTACATACTGGTTAAAAGTTGTAACAGTTCTAGCTCCGTAAATGAAAAAATAAACAAACCTCTCATCAAATCTTTGATTTTTGGAATAATTAAGAATTCGCGTGGGCAAGGTCATTGCGCGGGATGCATCACAAGGCTCCACCTTTTCAGAAACCAAAACTTACTTTGTCTTGTGTGCGGTGAGTCATTACTCAACAAGTGAGATCATACAGACAGAACTCATTAAGGAGAGAAAAACCGCAATAATTTTTTTGCGCATGCTTCTTGTCCGCCTTAATTTTGTTGGTTTGCTGTCGCCTGTCGCTTTCGACTCCGATACAGAAGATTTTTTGTTTTCTTTCCAGAATGTTACAGTATATCCATGTTTCATCCACTGTCACAATGTCATACACAGCATTTTAATGTCCTGAAATGTAGATGTTAATTTTTTTGAAGTTTTGGCTCATTCCAATAGCCATACATCCTCGGATCTCCTCATAAGTGATGCTCTGGTTTTCTTCAATTATTAGCCTGACAGTTACCACATTTTCATGATTTGATTGATCATCGCGAATATTATCATGGAGAGTTGGAGAGGCATGGTTGCGATCAAAATTTCGCATCAACGCTGATGCTCAAATAAGGTGCTTCCATCCCAAAAGCATTTTGAAGACGAGCAATATTGCGGAGAGAGTGAACTTTTAAAATCATTAGATATCATCTAAAATTAGTTAATTTAATTTTTGGTGCAGCTGACGAAATTCAACTTGTGATAAAACAATTGACTCACAACATCCGCCATAAGTTACTTTGATAATTTCATGATTTCTTAAGTTTTAAAGAATAGAACAGTATATTCCGGTTATCCACCCTAAGAAATATACCCTGAGATTTTTTTTATAGGAGAAGGGTGACAAACGAGCACACAGTCCACCTCATGGTAAGTGGTTACTGTGGCACATAGACATCTACATCTATCCTCGATTACGAATCAAAATACAAATGCGTCATTACTCGTGAAGAAGATGCAATGCCTCTTTTCCAGTAAGAAGGGTTTCTGGTTCGCTACACTCACCATACGAAACACAGCAGCGTTGTATTTCTATTTTACGCTGGTATTCTGTGAGAGTGTGGTCCTTCCCCGGTCTAGCCGACCCATTCGTGCTACAACTGTACTACTAATATAGCTGCAGCATTGCTGTACTACATAAAAAATATATGATGTAGCCGTAATGTATAATATGAGATATACTCGTATACTACTTCATTGTACTAATAATAAAGAATATATTTCACTTATTTTACACTAGGGTGGCTGGTTTATTATGGATAAACCGAATACCGCAAGACATTTTAGATTCAAACATTTATGAGCGGCCGGGATCGCCATCTATCGGAGGCCATAAGACTTTTCCGACGTTATATGACATACTTTAATCGCCTTTTACGATACGCACGGAACGAAACGGATTGATGATTTTGTTTAACGCCGCCACGCAGTAGATTTAAGTATGTTATTCCCCTGAGTCTAATACATAACCCAATTCAATAAATACAGGAGCGTCACAACAAACTGTCTGCTCGTAAGCAGGCTCTGACACCAACAACGCCGCTGTTTCGGTCAATGGCGACATCGCCGTTGGGAAAACGAAACCGAACTGCTGCTGGATTAGCCGCTACAGCCGAGAAGAACAGGTAGGAGAAGAACAAGCTTATCGGCCTTATTAATAATTTTTCTTCATGGTAACTTTAATGTCTTTTGGTAAACAACATATAATAAGAAGGATCACGCTTAGTCTTAAAAGGTGTGTATCCGGTAAAAACTCACATGTGTTGAAAAAAATTGTACTCACTTGATACCAATACTTTTAAAATTATGACTATACATTTTAATGATTTCTTATTATATTTACGCGAACACTACACATTGAATAAAACAATATATACGGATTTTATCGCGTTAAATTTACTTATTTTAACTTATTTTTAATTCCCGACATTTAGGGTGCTTTACAGCGCCCAAAGTCACGGGGGGGGGGTACTGAGATGTTTGACGTCCCAATTTCATAGTTAGCCTGGCTACCTGCAGTTTTTTAATATAAATTTTCGGTCCGATTTACGCAGAACGAGCTTACAGTATCTTGAAGTCTTACAGTGGTATGTTTGAGTTTGGATTTAATTTTGTTAATTATAGGATCCCAAGCAGATGGCGGCACCCATTCATCCATCCATCTTCTCTATTGAAATTAGTTTTTTAGTTTGATTACATATCTGATGTAATGGTGGGGACGATCTTGAACATGTTCACAGACTGCAGACTTCCCGGAGCGTCGGTGCTTCACGTCAGCTATATGTTCTTTCACGCGGGTTTTTATGAATCTTTTTGTTTGACCTACGTAAGAGAGACCACATTCACAATCTAACTTGCACACTCCTGCGTCTTGTAGAGGAATATTACACTTGACGGATGGTAAAAATTGACTAATCTTCTTCGGCGGCTTGTAGTATGTTTTAATGGAAGCTCGCTTCAAGATGTAGCGAACCTTGTCCGTGACTCCTCTGACATACGGTAATACAGCAGGCTCACGCTCGACTGTGGCCGGCTTCACTCGGTTACTGTGACCAGGCCTCTGTCACTCTTGCTACCTGCGTGGAATAATTACCTACAATCGCGAGGCACCCAGGGTGAAATACGCATTCGGGGCTTGCGCGTTTATAGGCGATTGAATGTAAAAGTTTTTTAACGTTGTGTGTTTAAAAAGTTATTTACGTAAAAATAACTTTTTGTAAATACTTGTTGAAATGGTTTTTTTTAGTGATTAGTATAGTTAATTGTGGGATAAAATAGTTAAAAAGTTCTAATGTAATTTAAAAATTATATATGTTATGTATATATATATACCCATCTATTTGATAAATTTTAATGCAAAACGTCGTTCCTACGATAATTATTGCGTGGATAGACGCTAAATGACCATCAAAATGTTTCAGATAAGGTCACCCGGGGCTATTGTAGCTACTAAAACCTATGTTAAACGTTTAACTTTAATTTTTGACTACTCATCAGTACTGCATCGTCAAATTTTAGGAATTCTTTTCATAAAACATGTATTAAGGATTTTATAAAATAAATTAGATTGATTTTAAATCAATAAGTTATTTTTAAATTCAACGAATTCCACGTAGAGGCATTGAATAGTCAGGTTTATCCCCCGTTTGGGGTAAATGTAGTCGCTCTTTGTAAAACCTTTGTTTTTGAATCTATATATTAAGTCAAAGTGGGAGAAGGCTGCTTCTAAATAAAGTCAACTGATTTTGTATCTTGGTACTTTGTACTAGCGTTCAATTTCGTTTAAAATTACTAAAACTATTTCTTGGGGATAAATGTAGCTACCCTTCATAATGTTAGTGTTGGGACATAGAATCTCGATAACATTGATGATGAATTTATTTTATATTCAAATTCAAATTAATAGTAGGTAATTAACTGAGAATTGGAACTACAATTTTCACGTTCTGATAATATTTAGAATTGCTGATTTTATTAGCTTGTCAGTATCCCTACTCCGGTTAATATCAATAGATTTTTTTTCCATATAACACGTCATTTTGAAAAAACTTCGACTTCCCATCAAAACCGGCAGCTAGTTCGGTAAATTTATAAAAAGTCGAGCAAAAAAAATGGATATCCGATTTGATCAACCATATAAAAAGTTGCTGGTGTTTTATGATTTACGATTTATTCATTAATTTTACAAATGACCCTGTGTATTCATTGTACCGAATAAAGTACAGTCACACTCGACATTTTCCCCATAAGTGATCAATTAATAAACTCTTATATACGTGTTTTGTGATAAAAACTGTGATATGAAGAATAATTACTTATAACGTTTATTAAGAAACAAAACTTTAAATTAATCACAAAAATTAGGCACAAAAACATCTTTCATATAATAAAAAATAAAAATATAAATTTCTTCGCAACCTTCCGCTAAACAAAACAAAACATTATAATAAAAAATAAAAATTTATATTTTTATTTTTTATTATAATGGATTTCCGCAAGTAACGCCTGATTCTATCAATTATCTTTCATATATTTTTCAAATATACTGCATCCCATCCATCCTTTCTTGCTGACAGCATATGCCGCTTCCACTTTTTCGCTGGGGTAAAACCACTCATTCCATAAATATTTTCCTTGTAAAACGATAGGGGGCGGCACTTTATCACCATTTGCATTGGCCGCTAAAGAACAGTTGTATTGGGTCTGCCTGGTGAATTGGTAGTTCTGGTACAACATTCACCAACTTATTCAACCACTTTGCTTTTCGTTGGGTCAAGACAAAAACTAGTCTCGTCTAAGTTATAAATACGGGTGACCCGATGATCGGGTAAGTAAAGTAAGTAAAGTTACAGCCTATAATACGTCCCACTGCTGGGCTCAGGCCTCCCCTCATTTCTGAGAGGGTTTAGGGCAAGGAAGTGTCCGCCGCGCTGCCCAAATGTGTGTTGACGAACTTCACATGTCTTCGAAATATTTTTTTTTCTTATTCCTCAGACATGCAGGTTTCCTCACGATGTTTTCCTTCACCGCCGAGCACGTGGTAAATCAGCACTTAAAATTGCAATTAACAATTTCATTGGTGCCGGCGGGGATCGAACTCGGGTTCCCCGCGTTCTGTTATATTTACAGCGAGCGTTAACCACTGAGCTACCACGGCTCCATGATCGGGTCGGGATGATCGGGTGCGGAAGTTAAATTCAAATCTTGAATTTCTTTTGCGGGTATGTCAAAATACTCATATACGGTAAAGGGATTACACGCCTCCTTTCTTCTCGCAACTACCACCAACTGCGGTTTTTTTGAAGAGAAATTGTGTCTTCCCCTGACACCTCGACACCAGTCATCGCCTGGTATATCATTCTTAAGTGTTGTCACGTTACCATTTCTTCTAATATATTCGCTAATCAGTGATAAACACTTCTTTGCGAGTTAAAGGGTAGCCACATTTTTCTATTACGCCAAGACAGTTTGCCATTCTCAACTCTATATCTTGACTAAAAACCGTGGATCTTCCAGATGTAGATTTTTTTATTCCACGTGTTACGGTTACATTCGCATAAATCGTGGCTCTGGGAACATTGAATTTTTCTACAGCCAATACTTCCTCGACTGCTTTTAAAAGATTTTCTCTTGTGTAGTAGGGTATTTCTTTTCTGCGTTTGTAGTTCCGAACCATCTAAAACATAAGATAACCTACATTAATATACTTTATACATAATTTTTGCGTGATATTAAATGACTTTAATAAGTTGTAAATTCGACGCGTTATGTAATTAATGCAATCAGCTGATATAAAATGTGTTTGGTAAGTTTGAAAGTTCATAAATAATATGCACTTATTTTGTATGAAAAAGTAAAAAAAAACATTTCCGGTATATCGATTCCTTGGGAAAGTTGCTCATAATCATGGACTGAGTGAATCCTGAAGAGCTCGTCTGAGTCACTAACCACCTTGCATGGTTATTTTTTTATTTGTAGGTATCGACATTAACAATATTTAGATCGACACAGGGACATCATTAGTATTTGCCATATTTCATATAAAACGAAGGGGGCAATTGTAGCTGCCAAAACAGCTACAATTACCCATGGTTCCAATTTTGATGAGACAAGCTTTCAAATCATGACTTAGCTTTCTCGTAAGATGAAACAAACACATTGAAAATGACTTACCATAAATAATTTCTCGAATCACCTCAAAACACTTTTCAATTTCACCCAAAAACGATATTTTTGAGATATTTTTTCTCAGCGGACACTTAGCACTGACTAACTTCAAAATGGTGGAATAAAAAAGCGGTTGGAAACTGACAATGTATAAATCCCACTTATGCCATCTATTGATATGTAAGGTAACTTGAATTTCTCTACAAAGCCACAGATATCACTTGCTTCAAAAGCTTTACTGGAATGAGTTATTTCAGTTAGCTACATTTTCCCCCTAGCTACAATAGCCCCGCGTGACCTTATATCATTATTTAAGTTACCGAAGGATTTTAGTAGGATACTATGAAACGTGAATTTATTTATTTTTATTGTTAGATAGGTACTTATAGCAAAAAAGAATGAAGTAATAATTTATCTAATACCTATGAACTTTATTACAAAATTTAGTTGAAATTTACTTCACTATCAAAGTATCTACATACATATCTATACTTGTCTTTTGTATTTAAAATATTTTAAGTTATAATAACACAAAAAACTGAAATTAAAACTTTATTTACAAACAAAAGTTTTAACTAAGTTGAATGCGATTTCATTTCTTTTTACCGAAGGATTTTAGTAGGAAGTTATGAAACGTGAATTTACTTATTTTTATTGTTAGATAGGTACTTATAGCAAAAAGAATGAAGTAATTATCTAATACCTATGAACTTTATTACAAAATTTAGTTGAAATTTATTTCACCATCAAAGTATTTACATACATATCTATACTTGTCTTTTGTATTTAAAATATTTTAAGTTATAATAACACAAAACACTGAACTTAAAACTTTATTTACAAACAAAAGTTTAACTAAGTTGAATACGATTTCATTTCTGTTAGGAATTGTATTTCAAGTTTATTTGTTTACGGTACTTATCTACCTTTTTCTTCCGAGCCAAGCATCGCGATTCCCGACGAATGGCCTTGCAAGTTGCGTGCGTTAGGCATCGCAGAACTCACATAGGTGCGAAAATGTGATCAGTCGATCATAGTCAGAATAGGTATTTCACCTAAGTTTAGTCTATTGACATCCCTAAGTAACAACGGAAAGTCCGTCGTAACGTAGGAAGGGGAAAAGATGCAAAGTAATACGGACATTTTCGCGCAGCGATAAAGTTTTATTTAGTTTGCGAGCGCGATATATCTAATTAATAATAATTATGTAGGCTATTAAACGTCGGCAAGCAGTCAGCATCAAAGGACTGCAACTTCTGTACGTAGTACTATTATTTATTCTGTGCTGTGACGTAGGCGCGGGACCCGATGCTTGTTGTCTTGCAATACTTGCTTGACATGATGAAGCTCGGCGGTCACATGTTTTCTGTCACAGATCCCTCGTGCTCTCTGAAACAAAGATTTACCCACGGTAGCTAACTGTAAAGGATGATGGTGAGTTTCACCATTTAAATATCGGTTTGTATAGGTCTTTTTCCTATACACAGTGTGACCAATAGTGTTATCAGGATTTCGGATGACTAAAACATCTAGCAAAGCTAAAAAATTATTTGCTTCTGACTCCACTGAGAATTGTATTTTAGAGTTTATAGAGTTAAGATGGTTTAAAAAAATTTCGAGCCAAGCTTCATCACGTCAAGCCAGTATTGCAAGACAACAAGCTTCGGGTCCCGCACCTACGTCACAATGACCGAGTGAAGCCGACAACAGTCGAGCGTGTGCCTGCTGTACTACCGTATGTCAGAGGAGTCGCCGACAAAGTTGGCTACATCTTGAAGCGAGCTTCCATTAAAACATACTACAAGCCGCCGAAGAAGATTAGTCAATTTTTATCATCCGTCAAGTGTAATATTCCTCTACAAGATGCAGGAGTGTACAAGTTAGATTGTGAATGCGGTACGGAAAAGGTCCATAAAAACCCGCGTGAAAGAACATGTATCTGATGTGAAACACCAGCTACATGGTCTTTCACGCTGATGTGAAACACCGACGCTCCGGGAAGTCAGCAGACTCTGAACATGTTCAAGATCGTTCCCACCATTACATCAGATTTGATAAACCATAAATCCTCGCAAAAGAACACCGATTACTACCAAGGATGATGCGCGAGGCTATTGAAATTAATAAACTTCCTATTAAGAAACTGAAGGTAGCCGGGCTAACTATGATATTGGGACGTCAAACATCTCTCTCAGTTCCCTCCGTGACCATGGATGCTGTAAAGCACCCGAAACGTCGGTAATCAAAGATAAGTTGAAATAAGTAAATTAATCGCGATAAAATATATACATATATATATAGTTTTATTCAAGTTATAAATTTTAATAAAATATTTATTTCATATACTTTAGTTCAATTATATTATGTTGTATATTGTTATCAATATATTGCTGTTATATACGAGCGTGGATTGAAAAGTTTGCAGCTTGAATATGAAAACAATACCAGAAGATTTTAAAATTATTTTTATTTTTCTACGTAATCACCACTTCCAAAAAAATCCTCATATTGGCCCTCAAAATAAGCAGCTTCAATCTCTTCGTTTGATGAAAATTTCTGTCCTCCTAAATGTTTTTTTGTTTAAATTGGAGAAAAGGTGGAAGTCAGATGGTGCCAAATCAGGCGAATAAGCGGGGTCTGGAGGTAATTCGAACCCACAATTGAAGAGCTTTTTAAGTTTTAACACAGCGAAATATCTACCAAAAGATAATCTTTTTTTGACGGTTTTGTGTTTTTTTTTTCTTTAATATGGGATTTATTAGTTCACAAAAACAGATTTTTGCAAAACATAATATCTTTGCTTGTATTCTTACTCGAATAGGAGAAATTTTTACAAAGTAAAATAGTTAACTATCTACATGTAAATATTTTCACGAAGCGTAATATGATACGAATAAACTAAAATAAAATACGAAAAACAGAAATTGTTAAAAAGCTGCTGGATTTTTGTATCTAGATGATGAGGCTCAGAAGTATTACGACGAATTGCTTACCGCAAATTCAGTTCCTGTAAATGAAAGTGATGATATAAGATGTGTTTAACGAATTTTAATCACTGCTATAAAGTTATTGCATTAAATAAAAAAATAATTACAAATTACGGGTGAAAGATCTTAGGAAAAAAATTTTGATATTTCGCTTTTGTGAAAATTCGTGATTTTGATTAGTGATTTTAATAAATAACCTGGTATTGAAAATTTTCGCTTTGTGAAAACGCTCCTCAATTAAAGATTTCAGCCATCGTTTCGTAGGACTTGTGAGGGCGTTCGTTGTCTTAATGAATCAAAACTTTTTTTTGTTAACGTTCCTGGGTGTTTAATTTCATGAGCGTAAAAAATGTAGAGTATATAGTGAGTATTTCGTGTTGTAATCGACCATAGTGACTCCCTTCGAATCCTAGAATACTGATACCATCACCTTGCTTACAGACAAAATCACTTTAGCTTTCTTCGGAGGCGGTGAGCCTAGTCTCCTCCATTCTTGTGATTGTTGTTTTCACTCAGGAGTATTGTAATGAACTCAAGTTTCATCGGTAGTAACAAATCTATCTAAAAAGTTTTGTGAATCGGCTTGAAACAACTCCAAACAATCGCGCGAAATCGCAAGTCGATTGCGTTTATGTTCGGCTGAAAAGAGCCTCGGTACCAATCTCGCAGAAATCTTCAAAAACCTCAATTAATTATGAATTATATTTTGAGTTCATTTTGTGCACTTGACTCAAACAGATGCCTAAGCTTGTCCGAATCTGCTGATAAGTCACTCTTTTGTCAGTCTCTATCATACGCCGCATAACACTGATGTTATCTTCAGTCGTCGCCGTAGAAGGCCGTCCGTCACGCAGATCATCGGTGAGATTAGTGCGACCACGTTTAAACTCATTAACCAGTTGTAAACAGTGGCACGAGACGTGGCTTCGTCGTGAAAGGCCAATCGAAGTCTATCAATATTTTCTTGTTGACTTAAATGCCATGCTGACGTTACACAGACAATTTTCAGTTTGTCGCCAAATCTTAAACAAATGATAAATTAATAAAATACTTATAGGTACATTAATATTGGCAAATAGTTCCATTTTCAAAATTTGAACTTATTTTTTTTTATTATATCGTTTACAAGTGGCCAGTTCTAGAAACTTTCAGTGTCACCCTCGTAATTAAGGTAGAAAAAGGAATATTTTTTTTAATCACGTCTCTACGAGACCGTGAACTTTTCAATCTACCCTGGTACATAATATTGTTGTAAGAAATATCGTTGTTAACGAGAATTGTACTGACTCTTAATCGAAGGCTAATGTCCCAAACATAGCACATTTTCGTATAGTTCGTAATTTATATACCTGTATGGTCCAATTGAGTGTAAGCAGGCCTTTTGAATCATAGGCCCCCAGCGAAGCGGCTGCTGATCACGGGCAGTGCTACAAGGGCGGCTACAACACTAACTAACAACCTGTCGTCTTTTAAAAGATCCGCCATTTCTACTGTCAAAAGGTAAGTTCATATTCATCGTACCAAGTTTAGTTTAGTTTGCGATGGGCTGTTTTCCGCAACTCCACGTCTAAGCGCGTATTTTGCGTGTGGGCAGGAATATGTGGTTATTCGAGCCATGATATTTCCCCGAAGAAGTTCAACAGTCCTTTGATGTTGCAAGCAACTTCAGGGAGCGATCCCGGCGTGCCGAGATGTTTAGCCCTTCATCGTAGCAAATAAAACAAGGGTATATTAGTAATATGCATTGGTCCGTAGATTCAAGTGAATACATGAGTTCACTTAAATCTCAAACTTTATATCATAAATTAATTCTCAGTTCATTCAGATATACCGAACGAATATTATAACATTATTTGGATATAATCTTATAATATTTTAGAGTTTTTTATTTATTTAACATAACTTAAGAAGTATATTATATTATTGCCTATGTTTTATATTAAAGGCAAGAGTCTCTTCACGTATATAATTATATAGTTCAATGTGTCAATTACTGTGCTAAATATGAGAAAAAAACTTTAGGTACATCATTTTTTGCAATACTGGCTATTTTACGGTGTCTTCATCAATAAAAAATGTGTTCCTGCAAAATATTTTAAATGGAACAATATTTTTCATTCCTTTTTATTTTTATTACATTTCAGTGCGCGTAATTAAAATTAATATGGTGAGAATCGTGTTGCATCACTAAAAGAGGCAAGTTTAACAATAGTGGAATGAAAAAGTTACATGAGTAGAAGGAATGATATCTATTGTTCTTATTACTTGCTACCTCATGCTATAAATACTTAGTAGTATATTGTATAAATCATGCTTTAGAATTACGAATTCAGTAATTTAGTAAGTAGTATAAATTTAGCAAATATATTGAAGAATAGCTCAATATTTCACAAGATATATTCTCAAGTAGTTTATTGATTATATTCTGGTAGTTGTATACTTAATATCTAGCAATTTTATTTAATTAATTTTTATAGTAGAGCTTATGTATTTTTCCAATTAACTATTACAATTTACAGTACACGAGCAACCCAGGTTCAATCCTTGCATACTTTTTGTACGTGGTAGAGCCATGTTGCAGCTATATTAGTGGTATAGTTGTAGCACGAATGGATCGGCTTGACCGAGGAATGGCCACTCTCTCACTGGGTACCAGCGTAAAATAGCAGCGTGTGGTGAGTGTAGAGAAACGGAGTCCCTTTTTACTGGAAACGGCATTCCAACTTAGTCATCATGGGTGACAACGCGTCTGCATTTTGTTTCGTAATCGAGGATACATATTATAGCTGTCTATGGGCCACAACATACTTATTATCAGGAGGACAGTGCTCGTTTGTCACCCTTATCCTATAAAAAACTTTATTTCTAGCAATTAAATTTGCACCAATTAAGTTGTAACTTGCATTTTAATTTGCTGATTTACCACATCCGTGTGTAAACAACTAGGTTTTTTACTGGTTTTTCCTAGGATAGATTTGTTTTCCAAATCAGAGGTAAAAATTACTTTCAATAAGCACTATTTCTATATTGAATATAAAGTTATTGTGTTCATCATGAGGAAACCTGAATATCTTATAAATTAAAAAATATATGTTTTGAATACATGTAAATTACCCCAATACAGCAGTTCAGTGGTAACCAAAGGTCTAATGTAACCAAAAGACAAACATACCCACCATAGTCTATCAGACTATTAAAGAACGAATTATGCGGCCGGACGCCCCAACAAGAAACTCACTAGAAGAAAACACTAGCGCCCTTGACGCCTAAAATTAGAAAGGAGAAAATTTAACCTATAGATAATAATATAACGCCGAGAAATAATATGTTGGTAACACCCAAACTGCTGGCAAGATCTGCCTTAAAATTAGCAGCAAGGCAGACATTTCCAAGCCCTAAAATCTACTAATAGTAGTATAGCAAGAGATTTAGTAGAAAAATTATCTTTAAATTACTTCTGTTCAAATACACAAAAGAAGCTTTTATATATAATAAAAAATATCAAATGATCGTGTCGTATTTATCTAAGAAAGAATTAATTAGTACCTTAATTTATTACTACCTATGTATGCTGTACGTTGTAATATACAAATATATAAAATGATATAATTTTAGATGTCTATAATATTATATTCTTATTACAGGCGTATTAGTGGGCGTTTAGCTGCAAGGGGGGTCGAAGGCAAAGGCGATTGCGCAAAGAGAAAGCTCGACTATGGAGGCGAAATGAAAAAGACACCTAAAGTTACCGTCAGTGGCAACATTCTTAAGCATAAGCGAACGGTAATCTAGATTCAATAATTTATGTTACTTATATAAAATAATGTTACTGTAAAAATTATAAAAGAACAAAGATCCTTACTGCAGTGATATATTAAATAACTACCGACCGCTCCGGCTTCACCGTGATTATTGTTGCTTTATTCAAATTTAAGATAATTATAAATTATTTTATCAATTTTTCGATTTCTAAAAAAAAAAGCATCTCGAAGTTTTTCAGATAAACTACAGCCCAGATCATTACCGGCATTACTCTACCTTTTAGTCAGTTTTATTAGAATTGGTTCAGCTAGTCCGTAGATTACCGCAGACAGACGGGTCGTTACAATCGTTATTCATGTTTTAACATCATGCAAATAACCACATCAGCTCAAGGCTCAATGAGGCAGTTATTTTGATATTATAGACGGACACTTTATATGTGTAGATAAACTGACGTTTGTCAAAGTAGTAAAATATAAAATTACCATAATATGTACCTAAAATTCGATTGTTGTCATGGTGATTGGTTGTCATATATGTTTGTGTGTTAAATTTTCTCCGGAAATTTTAAATTATTAGTGTTATTTTCATTTTCATTTGAATCTTTTTTTATTATTTCAATCCCATTACTTCATCAGTTTACAAGTTAGACACCAACGTGAAGAGACGTAAACGATTAGCGATTAAAGTTGTACCCACCCGTAATCTAAAATGGTTGTCAAGAAGTGTGCTAAATGTAAGAAAAACATCACCAAAAAAGTACCTGGACTAGAATGCAGTAGATGTGATCAAATAGTTCACGCCGATCTTGTCTGTTCGAAGTTATCCAATAAACAGTTAAACACCCTCAAGAATTCATCCGGTATAGAGTGGAGTTGTGAAGAGTGCCTAAGGAAAATTTCTCATAGATCGGGAATCTTTCGTGATTACCCGATTTGTGAACAACTTTCCTCTATGGAGCAATCAATAAAAAAACAAGACACTAGAATTAAAGAACTTGAAAATAAGAATTATGACTTAGTGAACAAAAACAAGAATTTGGAACTGCGGGTATCTACTTTAGAACAAACACTAAGAGATTTTGAACAAAAAACTCTCTCTACCTCGTTGAAAATTGCCGGATTACCAGTTGAAATGCCCAGCGAGATAAATACAATAATTGATACTGTTGCCGCTAAATTGGACGTTGATAAAAAGGATGTGCAGTCAGCTCAACGGTTACAAGGTTCAAAGGACAAACCGGGATCAGTTCTTGTAGAGCTGAAGTCTAAAATCTTGCAGCAACAACGGATAGATGCTGGCAAGGACAAGTGTCTCACCGCAGGGATGATAGTGCAAAACATTTCAAAGGAGAAGGCCGATGAACGCATTTTTATAAGAGAAGCCCTAACAAAGTATCAGAAAACACTTCTATTTAATGCTAAGTCGCAGCTATTGCATAAGTCATGTAAGTATGTATGGTGTAAAAATGGGAAGGTATGTGCTCGAAAAATTGACAACAGTAAAATTTATTATATAAATTATATTCATTGCACTATGCATGACATCAATCAAATTATAAAACTAAGTTCATCTCTTTCTGATAAACAACCCGGGTCACCCTCATCGACAATATTGTAAAGTTCTCATCTATACCCATATTTATTCATTAATCAATAAATTCAAATAAAATGGATACACTAGTAAATGAAATTACTAATTGTACCTAATCAATTCTTTCAACAATTGCCTCCCTAAAAGTTTTATGAACTTCTCATGTATACACTTTAATATTAAATCACTTATAAAATTTTTTAATAAACTACAACAACTAATCCACAACTGTACCTATCCACTAGATGTAATAGTTATAACGGAGGCTGGTATCTCGAACAATATTGTTAATTTATACACATTACCCGGCTATAATTTGCATACACATCTACGTGAAAATAAGAAGGGAGGCGGAATTATAATTTATGTACGAAACCACCTAAAATTTACCACAATTCAATGTAATACTAAAACGTTTGAAAGTCTTTCGGGCATAATAAAACTTAGTTCGTCACTAAATATAGTTGTGTGTGCAGTTTATAGACCACCATCTACAAATAAAAATCTGTTTATAAGTGAAATAAGCAATTATATTTCTAAGTTTGAATTGAAACAGAACCTCCTTTTAATCGGTGACACTAACATAGATTTGCAAACTTCAACCTCATACAAGAATGCATATGTAGGAGCACTCAGCGAGCACGGATTGATGTGTGGAATATCAGAATACACAAGAATTGAAACAAAACAAAATATAATTACTAAATCTTGCTTAGACCACATCTTTGCCCGATTTCCCACCCTACATCAATTCTCGGCGGTGCTCGATGTTGTACTGGCCGATCATCGAGGTATTATTTTTGCGTGCGTAGAAGACGCACCTATTACCTCCTCGCCTAGCGTTCACAGACTGTAACAAAACAACTAATTGATTACGAAATTTTTTATAAGGAACTTAAAAATGTGGATTGGTCAAAATCTAAGGATATGAATTCCCCAGACGAGATTCTAAATTTTATTTAAAGCTCTTTTCAATCGGCGAAAAATTCCGCAAGTAATATTAAAACCTATAAACTACTTAGAGAGATCCCCAAGCGGTTTAATTTACCCTGGATTGACGACAATATTACTCGTCTTTGTAATAAAAGGGACTTTTACCGTAATTGGAGAAATAATCCAGATAACTCTAAGCTTAGACTAGAATATAATAAAATACGCAATAAAGTCCATAAAGTTCTCGAAGCCAAAAAGAACATATATTATACTAAGCAAATAAATAGTAATTTTAAGAATATTAAAAAAAATTATAATATTGTTAACCAAATGTTAGGGAGAATGAACTTGTCTATTGATGCGGCTATACTAAAAGCGTTCGATGCACAGGGACTTACCTCCAAAACTATTGCAGATAACTTCGTAGCTTTGACATGGCGGTAAAAAGTATAGTTCCTAATTGTAAAATAAAATTAATAAACCAAAACAATACATATAAAATCTTAGACTCCAGTATATTTTTTCGGAAAGCGACCCCCTGTAGTATTCGTATTATTATTAAAAATCTTAACTCAAGAAAGGCACCAGGTGCTGACAATATTGCGATTGTTGATATTAAAATGATAGGCGAACATATTTCCCCAACTATCTCTGACCTAATTAACAGTAGCATTAAAAGTGGTTTGTATCCTGATAAATTGAAAGAAATTGAAAAGGCTGTGTCAGACCCGTACATAAGAAAGGAAAACGCGATGACTACTCGAACTATCGCCCAATTACATTACTTTCATCAATTGATAAAATTGTTGAAAAATTCATAAGCGATCAAATACACAAATTTTATAGGAATAACACTGTAATAAGCCCGTATCAGTTTGGTTTTCAATCAGGAAAAAGTACAACAGGACTCTTATCAAAATTTACTGATGAAGTGAATAGTCATCTAAATGAAAAAAGACAGGTGCTTGCCCTATTTATCGACTTCTCACGTGCTTTTGACACTTTGTTACATGAACAGCTAGTGGACAGTTTAGACAAATGTGGTATACGTGGCCCCTTACTTAATTGGTGCCATAATTACTTGAAGAACCGAAAATCGTTTGTGAAAATTGAAAATAACTACAGCGAGCCGATGTTGATAACAGAGGGAACAGCACAAGGTTCGGTATTAGGACCCTTGCACTTTTTGTCCTACGTCAATGACATGGGCAACTACATCGTCAATTGCACATGCTACCAGTTTGCAGATGACACTTGTCTTGTAATCGGTGATAAAAATCCACAAAAGGCATGTGACCTTTTGCAGTCTGACCTAGATATCCTATCAAGGTGGTGCCATGATGCTGGGCTTGTCCTTAATGATAGTAAAACTAAGTTGTTAGTAATTAAATCTCCATACCTAAAATCCGCTTCAATAAAAAAAAATAGTTGCACACAACCACATCTGCTTATATAATAACCGCGCTGCTGAATGCTGCTGCCCAGCAATCGAGATAGTTGACACACAAACGTATCTTGGACTAGTTATTGACAGTAAATTAAATTGGAGCCGGCATATTGACCGTGTATGTACTAAACTAAGACAGTTTTTAGCAAATATCACTATTCTCAATAATCGCATTCCTTTTAAAATAAAGTTAATGTTATATAATGCACTTGCGGAGTCGCACATTCAATACGGGCTACGCAGTAGCTACGGCCGAACTTACAAAACATATCTTGACCAGATCCATAGTTTACAAGTAAGAATACTCAATACTGTAATTCCAAATAAAATAAAAAATAAATTCAGGGATGACGTTAATGGTCTCTTTAAACATTGTAAAATTTTACCAATACATATACAAGTACAAAATATTTTATTAAAAGAACAATTTTTTAATGAATCGCTAAAAATCCCGATTGAGCATTCTGTAAACACTCGAGCAATTTCTAAAAACCGTCTCAACGAGCCGCGTGCTAGCAATGCGTACGGTAAGAGAACATGTAGCTACTTAATTCCTCGGCTTATCAATAACTTATCATCAGAATTAGTAGACAATATCACTAAAAATAACATTAGGTGTAAACTAAAGGGTCACTTTCTTAAATTATTATAACGTATTTTGTCATTTTTTTTGATTGTTTGCATATTTATTTCATGTTTTTTGGTTGTTTTTCCTTTTTTATAGTATCTGCAATACAACATAACGCTATATTATTTTATAAAATTGTAATCTCTCGATAGCTTAAGTATAAACCTTAGCGGGTTTTTTAAATGCTATCACTACAAATATGTGTAATGCTTGTTCATATGATAAATAAATGAAAAAAAATAAAACCTAATCTACGACACTACATTAATGAAAACTATCAGACCAACAAAGTGACGCCGACACTGCTTAATAAGAGAACACACACACTCAAAACCTTATTTGTTGCAAATGATTTTATGTGCGTGTGTGTGCGTGTGTCGTTTACAATGAGGGCATCCACGACTTTTTCTGCCACCAGGG